TTTTTTCAGTGTTTTCTATTTTCGCCATTCTCATAGGTGTACAGTGGCATTTGTGTGATGATTGTTCATTGGATTTTGCTCCTACTGGGCTGTCGATTCTAGAATGTCAGGAAACTTGTCATATCTATGGACTGACCAAGTTGGGTGCTCAATAAATGTGTGCTGTCTAGCTGCAAAGGACAGAGTTCTTCCTATGAGGACTAAGCGGTCTGTGGAAAGCAACATGGTTTTTGAAAATCCAGTGTGCCATCTGAGCAATGCGGCTTACAACTCGAGCAAGATTAAGAAATGACGTCAGGCATGGGAAGGTCACCCCGCTCTGTCCTGGGGGCTCCTTTACAGAGATGCAGAGATCCGGGAAATGCTTCCCCCTCTTGTGCACAAAGCCCGCGCTCACCGCTGCTCATGACTTCACTTAAGTGCTTCAAACTTTGATTAGACTAAAGAAGTAAATATATATATTTAAAATGTAGAACGAATGGACTAAGTAATAGATTGACAAGTAATACTTAAGATGGTTAGATCAGAATTGAAAGTGGACATTAATTAAAAAACAAAAGAGTAAGAGATAAGCGAGGTTAAAAGATAAGTTAAAGATCTAAATAATCTTAAAAGAGAAGGTGAAGGATAACACACAAGCTACAGTAAAATAACAATTTGGAAATTGAAAAAGGAGACTTCGCATCATCACAATAAAGGGTTAAGAGTCATAAGATTGATCGTAGAGCTAAATCCTCAAAGAGAACATTTTAACTTCAGGTAACTGAATTTAGAATTAGCCCCAGTAAATGTATAGAGAAGGAAGAGGCGCAGTTGGAGATGAGCGGGGTCACTCCAAGCCCTGGTGCGGAGCCGGCTGGATTTACAATCAGATGCACAATGCGCCCTCTAGTGGCTAATAGAGAGAAACACTTTCTTATTGAATACGGATAACCTCTCCTACCCAAGTCTTTTATTTCCCACGTCTTTGCTCATATTTTGGTTCACAGAATAGCATTATGTTCAGTAGGGTTATTTTAAAGAGTCTATTTTTTCAGACATAATACTACAAAAGAAGACATCTTATGGAGTAATTTCTCAAGGGGAGGTAAAGATATCATAATCAAACATGGAAGAAAAAAAACTCATGAAGCAATAAAAAACAGCAGAATTTTAAAGCTATTCACATAAAAAACTAGTCATATAAAAAAAAAGGAATTGGTTCATTTTAACTCTGAAGTAGCATTAGTTTCAATAAGAACAGATTATTTCCAACAGGGAAAAAAAAACCCAGCAAAATACAATGTTTTTTTGTTTTTTGTTTTTTCTTTGGGAACATAATGCACATACCAACAAGCCAGCCATTAAAAATTTTTTTTTGAGTGATTGATGGCCAAATTCACTCAGACCTGATATTCATTTGATTAAGTATCACTCAGCAAAAGTGGTTTGGTTAATATTAAATTTCAGTTGATTGTGTTTAAAAGGTAGGAGAGAAAATCTGCACTTTTTGTCAGATATCGAGCACCTTCAATGTGAGATATTGCTAAGGGGGGAAGAAAGTGAATACCAATGGCTCAATGTGCCAGGCGCTGTATCTTCATCATCACATTTAACCCACATGCAACTTTATAAGGTTAGAAATGATTATCCCTACTTTACTGACCGGAAAACAGAAGCTTTGTTAAGTCCAGGTAATTTGGATCTAGTTTATATAATGTAGTTTGTAAAGGAATTGAAACTTAGGTCTCGCATGCTTATTGGAGTACAAAGTGCTGTTCACCTTGCTTTTCTGAATGTAAGTATTCACCTGTAAGAACAATTTTAAACATTAAATGAAAAATATTGTAAAAGGACTGCAAATTTCAAAGCATATGTAAATTTATGCCATTAATTTTGGCTGTCAATATTTAATGGGATTATTTAAAAATATTAAGGGGGGAATTGGTTCAATTCATGCTTGCATCCTACATTTATATATTATTCTACTTAATTTCCAATTTATTTTCATTACTTCACATCCACACAATTAGTCTGGGCTTATAGTTTAAAACATTGCATAGACTATAGCCTTATTTGTCAGTATTTCTCAAATACCTTACTATGCCATGTCATTCATTTTAGTATATTCTTTTTTTAAGGGAAGTTCCCTTTTCTTTGCTGTCTGTAAATTGTACTAACTCTAGATAAATATCTTTGTTGGCAAAATAAAATAAAAGGACTAGACCAGTGAACACGAGCGAAGCCCATCTGTTGGGCTGTTTGGCAGTTGCCCGTGAACAGCTCGGAATCTTCAGGAGACGCGTTCCAGAAACTGGCCATGCTCCACCGGGAGAGCTGTGTGCCCCAAAGCGTGTTCCTTGGGGACTGTCCCCCCACCGCAACACAGTGCAATGGTCATGTTTCACACTGTGTGACTTCTCTTCAACTTTCAAACACACATTTTTATGTTACAGACTGAGAAGTTCTGCCGTCATCCTGCTGAACTTTGTAAACAATCTTCCATGATTCTCTGTATTTACCGTGGAACACAGCCCTGGCCGAGGGAGTTAGGGATGCTGCCCTGAGTCTATGCAACTGACTATTTTCTGCTCATAAAGTGCCAGGTTGACTGCTGGATTTGGAAGCAACTGTTGATCAATGTCTTGTAGGGCTAAGATGATCAAACTAACATATAAATTAAGTTTGTGGTCCAAATAGTCTATGGAGATGTGATGGCCTATGATGATGAATCAGCTTTTCATTAGCTAAAGGCTGAAAAAAATAGTATTAAAAAAACCTCCTGTACCCTTTATTCAGAGTCCTCAATGATCATTTTACCGTATTTCAATTATCATACTCTCTATGTAGACAGACAATAGATGGATATATTCTTTTCTTAACCCTTTGAGAATAATTTGAACAAGTTGAAGACATCTAGCAATTTCTATCAAAATTCTCAAAAATATACAATGATTAAGTCTGCAATTTCACTTACAGTATCTTATTGTAAGGAAATATTCATAGATATAAAAACGTTTTAATTATAAGAAAGTTAATCATGACAATGTTTATCCTATTGAAAAACTGGAAATGGCCAGTATGTCCAACAGTAAGCGTTTGGTTGAGCAAGTTGTACCGTGCAACTGTAAATTGCTTGTAAATGTCTTCCGGTCTGCCACTTGTCATTGGCCTCTGTAGCCATTAAGACAAAGTTCAAACTCCTAGTAGGTCTGCAGCTGTTGACCGCATGACTCTTTTTTTTTTTGCTTACTAGGACTCCTTTAGTCCTGTTTGATGTTTCTTCAGAGAAACAGATGACTTCAGACACCCTCACCCTCACATAGCCTGGGTGAATACTGGTTTCATCATACACGCCTCACCCACTCTCCCTGCACCAAGGATCAAACTAGGGACCATTGTGCATGGAGACTCCGTTTTGCCTCAGGTCTCAGGCCCTCCTAGCCTTGGACAGATAACGTGAGTTAATCCAGGGCAGCCATGAAAAGCCTGGGCTGCTCAAAAAGGGCTTCCTAACTTAGAATATAATCAGGATCCTACCGAATTTTCAATAGATAGCCTACCCTCATTCCAAAAAAAGAGTCAATTCCTCAAATTTAGATATATTCATAAGAATTCCTAGCAGAACAATGTCCGCTTTATTCTTAGTAACTTTGACTGGAAAACTAGATTCCTGTGGCTTCCAAAAGCTGTTGTCCTTCTCCAGTGGGTCCGTCCACCTTCCTTACCAAGAGCAGTTGAAAACACATATACTGTTACATAATTTCCAAAGGAAGTCATTTTACTTTGACATCTCAGATTCAGATGTTCTGAAGTAAAAATAAACATAAAATTTCAGATAGGGAATATGTGAGGTTATCATATTTCTTACATAAATATTGGAATGGAAAAATCAAAGAGTCTGAGCTAGCAGTTATGAAACAAAAAAAAAGAAAAGTAAACTATAAAATATGCCTCATAAATATTACAGACATTTCATTATATGGACAAAATTCTTAGAATCAGGAAGGAAACACACCCAAAACATAACATTTATTTAAAAGACAATGTAGTTAGTATTGAAGACATTGATTGTTGGGGAGAAAGGGCTTAAACACGGAATAGAAAATTGCAATGTGCTTAACTGATCCAATTAGAAACAGTACAGAATCACTTGCTTCTCAAGGAGTATATGAGACAGCACAGAAAATTTTACTTTTATTTTGTTTATTCATACGATCCAAACTTAAGAAATGAGGACAGGACACACAACGAGATTAACTGAACTATGTGAAGAGAGCCCAAAAAGTCACAATATTTTCAACCGGTAACAATTTGATTATGGGAAGTTCGCCTGTTAACTAATATAAAAATCAATCTGCAAGAGCAACTGTGACTCAGGTTGAGCCCAGAACGCAGAACTGCGGGCGGTCGGGGAGGGCTCCACTGCCTGGCCTTTGGCCTGGGACCTCGGAAAGGACCCTCCCAGCACAGGTGTGCAGCCAGTACACTTTCTCTGAGCCTGCCCTCAGGTAGCTACCGTTCCCGTTTCCCACAGCCCCTTTCTTCTTAGGTAGTGCAGAGCTCAAGAGAACCCGGCCAGTGCTGCGCAGGGGAGGACACAGAAGTCCTCCGACGTGGGGGAGGGCGCGTGGGAGTAACAGGCTCAGAGAAATGAAGAGTAAAACGGGCATCCCCAAAAGGCACTGAGGCATGCAATCCACGGGGAATTCACAGAAAGGACAGACTGGAAAGCGGTTCGGAGGGACCATTGTCACACTTGGAAAGTCACACCCACAGAGCAATAAAGAGGAAGGAAACTGGAGTGGAGAGCACTACCTTTTATATTTTTAAGAGGAAAATAGAAGCCAAACTAAAAAGTGTAATAGCAATGGTGGGTGTTTAAATAAAATGTGATCCAGAAGGAAGTATCGTTTTCTGTCTACTTTGTCCCAACTATGATAAACTTAAGAAATTATAAACTTATATTAAGTCAGGCCAGTTTTGCTTTATTGGTCATCGATACATTTTGTCAGGCATTTCTGAGGAACACGGAATAGAGGGAGACAGGGAGTGGGGAGGGAGTATATGCCACGTAAGCCTCCGGTCTTCACACTCCTTGGGCCCAAGGTGTCTCTGACTTCCACCTTAAATGACAGTTTTGCATCACAGAAAACATCGTCCCCAGGACAACAGAATTAGGCCCCCGAGTGGACGCTGCTCAGCACGCTGCCCAGCACTGTGAGGCCCGCCAGCAGCCCGGGGGAGAGGTTCCCGTGCAGAGAGGGGGAAGGAGAGGTGCACTCCGAGGGCTCTGCTCTGTGCGGTCTTTCTATAGCTGGAGGTGAAGCTGCCATCCCTTGGATCTGAAAATGAAGCAGCAGACAAGGCCAGTGAGCGTGTGATTTGCGAGCAGGGCTGTGGCCAAGTTTGCAGGGATCAAAGGGGTGCAGGACCGGGAACAGATGGCTGCCGAGGCTGTCAAACATCAGAGAGGCACACCTCGGGAATTCCAAGGGCAGTGGAGAGGAGGGCCAGACACGCCTCTGGGAAGGAATAAAATTCCTGTAATCTATAAAATTTATAGATTTTAACTGTTGTAGATTCAGGTAAATGGGATATCTGGTTTCCACCAAAGACTGAAACAAAGTGGGGCTTACCGACCACTCTGCATTGTCCGCCCTGGAGCATCTCACGGTCACCGGCAGGTCCAGGACAAGCTTATTAAAGGACAGACCTTCCTTTTCAGTCCATTTAAATTTATTCATTGCATCCATGAAGGAAAGGTTTTTATATTGCTTGGGGCTTTTGATAATGAAAGGCCAGGTCCTGAATTAAAAACAACAACAACAAAAAACACAGTCATTTTCAGAATAAAAACATTATATGTTTCCATTACTTTTCAACAGACCTCATACTTGTTCGTTTTTACAAACTAAGGTGACGAAATACATACCAAGAAAGGAGGCATCTTCTTGAAAAGTGAAACTCCTTGTTTCAGTAGTGTATGGGTATTACTTTTAGACAAATAATTCTGGTTCAGAAAGCTTCCCCAGCGTCTCACAATTCCTCATTTATGTGTTTTGACTCTAGCTAACAATACAACTGGTAGGCAAACAGTTCTAAATAGTGAAATGCTAATGGTGAGATAAAGAAATGTGGAGGATCTTAAAGGTACTGTTACAGATGGAAATTTCAGTTCCATAGAGCTGAGAAGCCTGACCCCTGGTGGCTGCCCTGTTTGGGCTTGCTGACATGGAGGTCCATTCAAAAGATTTGAAATTGAAAGAGTGTTTTTAAAATTTTACTGAGAAAAAAAATATTCTTCAGATGATATGCTTTGCTTCTATTTGCTGTTCTAAAAAAAAAAGTAAAACATGTAAGAAAAAAAAAAAAGTAAAACATGTTAAATGTCCAAGAAAGAAAGAACAAATCACAGAGGAATGATAGGACCAGCTCGAAAATATACTCTTCATTAAATACAAGTTTATATTACTGACTCCTGAAAAAGGAAAAGTAAGTGTTGGCAAATAGCAAAACTTTACATAAGCTAATCCATAGACCTTCTGGCAGATTATCATGGGTAATCAGGAGGTGTCTGGCTCCCATGGCACCCCAAGATGTTCTAGTAATTACCAAATAATTAATCTCTAGCTAAGAAATCTACAACTTACTATCTGATCTTCGTAATTTCTTCTTACACACAAACCTATTCAGGCACATTGAATATTATCTTTTAAAGTAAACATCCTTTATTAATTTTTTAGTTATAAAGATAAATTTTTAATGTCTAAATTAAAATTATTTCCTCCATACTCCAGTAATACAGTAGAAGCAATGCATAATACATGATGATTTTTCTATTCTTCAGTCCTAACTTCCTTTTTCCCTTTAACTGCAGTCAATATATGGTCACTTGGTTTTAAATGCACCGTTTGTACAGACTTAGAAATGAATGCCACAAAGAGCCACCAGATCACACTGCAGCATGCACGTCTACTGAGGGCCTCGGAGCCACCCCATTTTGGAATTAAATATGCTGTGAAGACTTGTGGAGATGCAATTCAGAATTAGTGTAAAATTAAAGCTTGACTTTAAAGGAGTCCATTATGTTTATATACAGTGTTCTTTTATTTATTTTTTCCTTTATTGATTTTAGAGAGAGAGGAAGGAGAGGAAGAAAGAGATAAACACATCAATGAGAGATAACATCAATTGGCCGCCTCCTGCATGCCCCCAACTGGGGATTTGGCCAACAACCTGGTCATGTGCCCTGATTGGGAATCGAACTGGTGACCTCTTGGTGCATGAGTCAATGTTCAACCACTGAGCCACACAGGCCAGGTACAATGTTCTTTTACAATAAAAGCTACTTGTAGGTTTTATTAAATATAAAGTAATTTTTAAATCAAATGATAAAAATAAAATTTACTTTTCAAAAGAGTAAGGTACCTGGAAAAAAGGAAAATCAACATTATAACTAGAGAAGTACTGGGGTGTGTGGGACCCAGGTAGGGGGGTTGGGGGAGATTGTCAGCCTGTAACCATCTAACACACCACAAGGTGACACTAGAATCTCTACTAAGGATCTCAGGTGGCTTAAATCCTTTGAATTTTCTGCAGACCTGCTGGTATTGTACCTAGATAAAATCTTAAAATCTTTGCTGCTAGAATATATCAGTAAACTCTTATTTCTTGACATGAGGTATAAACACATTTGTTAATTTACTATAAATATGTGGAAAGGATGTAAAAAGGAAAGCTTCAAGGGTTCATATGTTGGAGACAGCATAGCGTGACTGAGGAACCTGGGGATGGAGTCACCAACCTCCCTGAGATGACAGCACTGTCTCATGTTTGTCTCCTTTCCATCCCTACCAACATACATTACTCAGGCTCCTGCTCTATGCTACCACCGCTCCGTCATTCCAGCCTGACCTACACGCTTCCAGGTTACCCCTGGAGAAAAGGGCAAAGCAGACAGAGAGGAAATCCTGAAGAAGTGAATATTTCTTTAGTATTTTTCCTTATAAGACTTTAAACCAGAAATAGGTAACCGTGAAGTAGCAATTTCCTCTGCTATCACTGGGACTGGCAGTTAGTTAGAAATATTAGAATGTTCCAGGAATTAAAGCAGTTACATTTTTAGACATCTTGGTATAGTGTAAATGTCTACCCAAATAAACATTTTTAAAAGGGTATTATTTATATATCACGGTAGTTAATAAAAAATAAACCATGTTAATATTAATATTGAGTAATTTTTCTTTGTAAGTTTAATCTAATGATAAGTTGATTTAAAAGAATACAAAAATTAAATAAACTTAGGTTATCCAAAATAATTTTGGGAAAATAAAAAATGACAATGTTTGGGACTTCTACCCTCTTATTTAAAGACAAGCTATAAAACTATAATAATTGAGCGTGGCATTATATTAAGGTTAAACATATACAACAATGATATGGAATTCAGAGTCTAGAAATAGTCAACCCATGGTCACATGATTTTCAACAAACATTCCAGTGTAATTCAATAGGAAGAAGGTAGGTTTTCATCATCAAATGGTTCTTAAACAACTCGATATCCATACGAAAAACCACGAACCTCAGCATTTGTCTCATACCACACACAGATAATTTACTCAAAATGTATCATCAACCAAAATGTAAAACCTGAAACTATAAACTTCTTATGGAAAAAAAATAAAACAGAAGGAAATCTCCATGACCTTGGGTAGGCAAAGATTTCTTACAGAGCATATCAAAAGCACAAAACAAACCAAAAATGATAAAATGGACTTTAAAAAAACAAACAGCTAAAAAAAATGAAAATCAGATCATAGACTGGGAGAAATTATCTGTAAAATACATCTGACAAAGGATTTATATCCAAAGCATAAAGAACTCTTTAAAAATATAAAGAACTCGCCCGGTCAATGTGGCTCAGTGGTTGAGCATTGACACATGCACTAAGAGGTCGCCGGTTCCATTCCCGGTCAGGGCACATGCCGGGGTTGTGGGCCTGATCCCCAGTGGGGTACATGCAGGAGGCGGCCAATTGATGTCCTCTCTCATCCATGTTTCTCTCTCTCTCTCCGTCTCTCTCCTTTCCTCACTCTAAAATTAATAAAGAAAAATATTAAAATAAATAAATAAAAATATAAAGAACTCTTACAAGTCAATAATAAAACAAATAACCCGACTAAACAATGGGCCGAAATTTGAACAATGAGGAGGAACTTGTATACCTGACCAAGAGACAATGTGAAAAGAGGCTCAACATTGGTAATCATAAGGGAAATGGAAAATAAAACCACAATGAGATATTCCACTACATACACATTAAAACAGATGAAATTTAAAGTACTGGAAATACAATACATTGAAGGAATATTAAGCAATAGGAGTTCTTATATATTACTGGTGAGAATGTAAAAAGGTCCACCACTTTGGAGAAAATGTTGAGGGTCTTATGAAACAAATGTAAATTTGGTACTCAATCCAGTGATTCCACCACTAGGTATTAACCCAGAAAATTGAAGACATATGTCCATACAAAGACTAATATTAATGTTCATAGCAGTTTTTTTCATAATAGTCAGAAACTGGAAACAATCCAAATGTCTTTTACCTGGTGAACTGATAAACAAACTTTGGTATATCTACATAGGGGAATACTACTCAGCAATAAAAAAGAATGGACTGGTGATACATACGCTAGCATAGCTGAATCTCAGAAATCTCTAAGTTAAAAACAAACAAACAACAACAACAAAAAAAAAAAACAGGCACAAAAGAGCACATACTATATGATCCCATTTTTGTAAAATCTACAAAAGATTAAGTACTCTAGTGACATAAAGCAGATTCGCAGCTTCATGGAGCTTTGTGTGTGAGGTGCGATTGTCTCCAGATAGGACTAAGAGGGCTTTTGGAGGTGATGGAAATGCTCTATATCTCATTTGTGAGGGAATGAAATAGGTGTACACATCTGAGGAAACTTTATAACAAAAAGAGGTGCATTTTGTTGTATATAAGTTCTGCCCCAAGCAATTTGACTGTTAAATAGTAAAACAGAAATAAAAACATATTAACAAGCCATGAAAAAAGATAATGCCACAAACTTTCCAGTTTAATTGTTAAAGAAGGGAGCCAGCATAATCCGACTTGACAAGGTATAACTCCTGGTCCTCTTGACACTAAGGAAATGTGTGATGGGAAGTACACAGTGAGGCTGAGGCTCCCTAGAAAGAAGTGAGGAATCGAGGGCTGTAGCAGATGCAACCGCAGATATAAGACCTGGGACATTCCTCCATGGAGAGGGGTTCAGCCCTTACCAGTTAGCAAACCTCCTCCAACAGATTTTTAACAACATCTGTGGAAGGATCAACCCATGCATTGCAACACAGAGTATGCGGTCCCACCTCTATGCCCATAGCCCTTTGCCATCAAAATATTAAAAAGTATGTACATAAAACATATCACCTAAACCTCAAACTAGGGTGTCGCATGAAAGAAAGCTACTCTCAGATTTGCTTAGAAGGAAGTCAATACTTCACCTACATTTTATCAAAGAAGTTTTACAGAAAAGTGACTCAGCAGAAGTAAGAAATGACATAACCACCATGCAAACATAGGGCAAAAGGGAAGTTATTTCACACTTCATGTGAACAGACAGCAAAAACTGACTCTAGAGGACAATACAAACCAATTTTACTGGAGACAATTCCCACAAGTGTTTTATGTTATAAGCTTATTTAATAAGAACATGAATTGAATTAACCAAGAGCTCAAATAAAAGATCATGGAACAACAGAATGAGGTGAAAAGGGAGACAGCAGACCAAAGGAAATAAATTTAAGACAAAACAACTTTCTTAATCTTCTGGTAAATTAAAACAAAATTAAATGTTAATGTTCTCGTTTAAAACAGTGAACAAGTTATAATCTTTATAACAATAATCTATTCATCTTTATATTAATACCTACATGGGAAGATGTCAGCAATAACTTTCAATGAATGTTAGTATTATTTTTTCTAACAGAATTTGAGATGATGGCTTTTGTCTTTTTAAAACTTTTTTCTGCATTACCTAAACTCTGTAAAATAGCCTTTGTAATTTTCACACATGATAAACAGAAAGTGATTTTTCCTATAAAGAAAAGGAGAAACATCTCTCTTGATTCTTTTTTAGAAATAGAACAAATAACACAGGAGCTTTCCATCCTATAAACCTGCCTGGAACAGCATGGATGTGTGGTGTTGCAGAGAATAAAGAATTTATATAAACTCATTATCTATTCCGTTATCTAATCTTTGTGAGTTTTTGTTCTTCTTTAAGTCTTGCCAGATCTGTAGGAGGCAAAGAAAAACTGCATCTCCCGGAACAGACAAATCCTGAAACAGGATGTAGTTGTCTCTATTTTTCTACCAAGTCATCCTCTAATCTTAGGATTGCTATGGAATGTTTAAAATGAAATAGGGCACCTAACTAATTATTATATTAAAAGCACAAAATAAGAGATTTGGGGTTATATGTTATATGACATTCCTTTTTAGTATTATATCCTGAAACCAAATTAGCAATTTTCTTCTAAGCAAAACAGAAGCAGCACCCAAGCCATCCCTCTCCTTCTGATCTTTTAACCAGTACCCTGTTAGCTTGGCCTTCAATCAGATTTATGTCACTGGGATGATGAGCGAGATTTGAAAGTTTGATTTGAAGTTCAAACATGTATTTTATGATAGAGGCTCTTTTTCACTCATATTTTGAAGAACAAATATATTTCACCTGTAGTTAAATGGTTTCATGTGGGCAATGACATCTTAAAGGTGGCCTTGGTCTGCGAAGCAATTTTCCTGTCCTTCTCAGGAGGACAGACCCAGCCTCAGTCTTTCCTGGGGGAGGCCGAAGCGTGGACACTGGCCGAGCTCCCTGGGACTTGGAACCGAGCACCTTCAGCGGCTTCACACAGATGAACACAAAAGGGAAAACTAGACTATATCCTACCGTTTTTAGAATATTTTATGTGTTGTTTTTATTTTCATTACTATTTTATTTGTATATATTTTTAATAAAAGGCAGATATATACATATATATATAGAGAGAGACATTGACCACAATACAAACCCTTGCTCTGATACTTATTGTGAATTATAGAATGTTGAACAACTTCTCAATCTCTCAGTTTCTAATTCCTCCTCTATAAAACTAGGATCGCAAGTCTTGCTCTACCTATTGGAATTGTGTGGGAATAACTTACATGAAATCATGCATTTGAAAATACTTGATAAATTGCAAACTAATTTACATAAGCTTTTTGTTATTTGTATTTTAGTAGATCCAGACTTTTGTTGTGGCAGTCAATGGGTTGGGTAGATAGAAACTCAGTACAACACATCTATAAATAATAAGTTTAATGTAAAAAGAGTATTTTTAGTTCATAATTTATAATCCCTATAATATTTAGAAACAAAAGTAGACCATACTTGTATTCTCCTTTAGCATCTGAATTTTACTACATTCTCACTGTTCTTTTACCCTTCCTTAAATACACCCCCTCAAAAATTTATGCATAACTTTTGCCTAATTACATGTCTCTTTCATTTTGAAAATTACTAGAAAATTCTCTTTATATTAAAACAGAATATATATGCCCAAATCTCCACTAGGCACCCTGATTCTCTTCTGTGGTGTTATTTTTTTCTACATCTATCTTAATATATCTAAAACAGAATTTTCTATTTTTTCTTCATTTTTTTTTCTTTTCCTACACCATTCACACATCATTTTTCCTTCACTCTTCTCCTTCTCTGATCAACTCCTTGAGCTCCAATCAATCAACAAGTCCAGTGAGTGCTACCTTCAACATGTAACCTGAACGTAACCATTTCTCATTAACTCGACTGCCTCCACCTTGGTCCAAGGTGCCATTACGTCTCACCTGGGCAACCACAATTGTCTCCTAGTTGGTATTACTCTTTCCAATCTTACCCTCCTAGAGTCTTTTTCAACACAGTAGCCAAATTGACTTTTAAAAAATATGCTACAGTGGTTCCTCTTTTCACTTAAAAACTTAAGTCTTTATGTTGCCTATAAAGTCCTACATGGTCTGGTCCCATTAGCTGTCAGACCTCCTCACTCATTTCCACCACATTTAACTGCCCCCGCCAAACTCCCCTTCTTGTTGCTCTTTGAACATGCTAGCTTCATATCCACAAGAGGGTCATTACACGGACTCTTCTCTATTTATACAGTATACTTGGATATCTTTTCCATGGCTGGCTTCTCATCACTTAGGTCTCTGCTCAAAAATATCACCTCTAGCCATAGACTAAATGTGTGTCCACCCTAAATCCATGTTGAAACCCTAACACCCAATGTGACGTTTTTAGGAGATGAGGCCTTTTGGAGTCTCTGCCCTCATTTATGGGATTAGCTCCCTACAAAGGCAGCTTGAGAAAGCTCCTTTGCTCCTGCTGCCACATACGGTTACTATGAGAAGATGACCGTCCATGAGGAAGTGGGGTGTCACCAAGCACTAAATCTGCCCATGCTTAGTTCTTGGACTTTCCAGACTCTCAAACTGTGAGAAATCAACTTCTGGAATTTATTAATCACTCTTGTTTATGGCATTTAGGATACAGCAGCCCAGACTAAGACATCTCACCCAAAAGACTTTCACCACCCTATTGACAACAGCTACACACATCTTTCACTGTTTCGATTCCTTTCATAACATCTAATATCTGGAATTTTGTTTTTACATTGTTTGTTTGTTTAGTGTCTCCCCATTCTAGAATATAATCTTAAACTGTCAGGAATAATATTTATCTTGTTTATTATTTTATCATAAGTAGTTCCTATGATATGCAATTGTGCAGAAAGAATTGACATATGCCATGTGAGACTGTTACTCTTAGAAATACCTACTTGGATGGTTGACATGTGGCTGGCATCAGGGAATTTAAATAATAACTCACTTCCCATATTAATATAAAACTTTCTCTAAATGATAAGAGTGACTCATTGTGCCTAGACTGTTTGTTCAAACAGTGTAGTTTATATTGAACACCTGTTTTCTTCCTGGGAGTCTGGAATTCAGGTATTTGCTGAACAGAGGACACTTATGTGACCAGCTCTCAATAAAAGCTCTGGACACTGAGTCCCTAACGAGATTCTCCAGTTCACAACAATTCATACATGCTTTCATAATCTGATGCTGGTGGAATTAAGCGCATTCTGTGTGCCTCCACTGAGAGGGGTTTTGGGGAGCTTATTCCTGTTTTCCTGTTGACTTTGTCCCATGTGCTTTTTCTGTTTTGTTCATTTTTCTTTATATTCTTTCACTGTAATTAGTATTAGCCATGAATATAACTATATGTTGAACCCTTTAGGTCTCCCTAGAAAAATCTCTGAACCTGGAGGTAGTCTTGGGGGGCCTGGACAAAGCAACCAAGAAGCTCACTGGGTATTCCCAGTTGAAAATAATCAAATAGAACACCACATAAAGGAATTCCATAAAACAGTGATAAATCCAATATGAAAATAATGTCCATCCTTTTCTAAAGTACGTTGCCTCTACCATGAAATTCATTTATTACTTACGTGACTGGCCTGTAGATCTCCTTAACTCCAATGAATTGAAGTTGTTCCATAATGTCTAGAATACTTGAACATCGAGCAAGATTAATTCTTGGGTAATAAAGAATGTATGCAAGACACATTTCACTCCTGGTGCTTAGTCCTCCCTGAAATGGAGATGTTTTATTTAGAAAAGAATATTCCACTAACTGTCACACTTAAGCACACAAACCACCAAGGTCATACAGTTCCTTCCAATATTAAAATAAAAAAAATTTTAAAGCTGAATAATAATCTAAATGACAACTTAATTTTTTTTAAGTTAGTGACATTTAAAATTAATAGAATTACTTCTATCTCTTTAAAAGTTGCCTTTCTTAAATAATATCATAATCTCCTTAAGTTTCTGTTAATATGATGTTAACTTCTCACCACAGGGAACATTTCAGAGGCTTATGGGAGTATTTGGTTAACATGATAACAATCAGTCAGTTTGATGTAGATTTGCTCAGTTGCACTGGATTTTCTATAATCTTGCTGTCGTGTATGTAAACATCATCAGCTGCATACCACAGGGGAGACATATTTCAAATTCTAAATCTAGGTAGTAAATTACCTAGTAGAATATTTAAATATTAAAGATCCTCAGAAGAAGAGAATCTAGAATTGTTACAACTGTCAATTTTTCAACCAAATGTTATTAAATTTTAAAAGAAACAGGAAACTATAATCTGTACTCAGGAGGAAAAGTTAATCAGTAGAAACTAATTATAAGAGAATACAGATGCTGGATTTGGCAAAAACTTAAAAGCAGATATAAGTATGTTTGAAAAGTTAAAGAAAGATATTCAAGCAATTAAAGGTAAATATATTAAAATGAATGAAAAACAGAGAATGACATCAAAGAAAGAAAAACATAAAAAAGAACCAAAGAAAATTCTAGATTGAAAGATACCATAATTGAACAAAATATTCACAGGATGAGCTCAACAGCAAATTTGAGATGGAAGAGGAAAGAATCAGTGAATTTGAAGATATATCAACAGAAATTTTTCAATTTGAAGAATAGAAAAAGTAAAAAAATAAAGACTAAAGAAAATGAAAATTCCTCAGAGATCTGTGGAACAATAGTAAGTGTTCCAACATATATGTAATTGAAGTTTCAGAATGAGAAAGAAGAAAGGGTAGAAAATATATTTTTAAAGATAGCAGCTGAAATCTTCCCAAATTTAGTGAGAAACATTAACTTGACAGACCCCCAGGTACTCAACAAATGCCAAAGATAAATATGAGGAGAGGCATAATTAGACACATTATAGTCATATTGCTGAGAGCCACAGACAAAAAGAAAATCTTGAAAGCAGCAAGAGAAAAATGACATATTACATATGGGAGAACAATAATGCAATTGACAGCTGACCTTTCATCATGAGTGATGAAAGTAACAAGAAGATGTTGAAATTACATACTCAACTGTCCCAGAAAAAAAAGAAATTAATCAGGAATTTTGTATTCAGCAAATTATTTACCCTTCAAAAACGAAGATGAAAAATTTAGTAATATTTTTCATGGTTATAAATTAATGTAGTGGCAAACATGAAATGACTTTGCAAATTGCAAAAATATAATGTCTTACACTTGATGAGTAAGGCAGGATTGAGCAAAGGGAGAAGCCATTCTACACATGAGGCTACAATTGATGCCTCAGTAAATATCATATTTAAACTATTCTTGAGTTGGGGTGGCTATTCAGAGTTTTACCAAATTGTAGGAAGAAAGCTGGGTTTTCATAACCTCATATCAACCAATCATCAGCTGCTGGCTGCCCTTCTGGAGGAAGCGTAACTTTAAGTGAGGCATTCCCTGACACCAAGAACAATACCTAGCGACAGAAATAGTTGTGAGCTCTTATTATCTGATATTTCCAGTGGCTGATGTTTGCTGTCTTGGCCCTGAAAAGAGGGAGTATCCAGGCACCAAAATATACACTAAAATTATAATTTATTATATATTTAGCAAAATATTTCATGTAAACAAATTATATATAAGATATGAGAAAAATAAAGCCAATTCCCGTGTCTTGACTACCTTTTGTATGCTAATCTACAATTCTCCTCTTCCCCACCCAAACCAAAGATGATTATCTTAATATTTTGTTTATTATTCTTTTGCTATTCATCACACTTTACATTCAGTTCACTGAGGTATGTATGTATCCCTAAACAATATATTGTTTACTTTTGTATGTTCTTGAACTTCAGATACATGATATCACAGCTACATAGTCTGCTGCAAATTTACTCTTTTCAACAACATTGTGTTCTTCGGACACATTTAATAGACGAATAACTTTAGTTCATTAATTTTCACAACTACATACTATTTATATATTGTATGGCCATATTATAATATATTTATTTGTTTTTCTTTTGATAAATAATTGAGCTGTTCCCAGGCTTTTGTTCCTGGGTTGTTACATGTTGCTATGAATATTTTATATATTCCTTTCCTGGAACACTTCCTGCAAAAGTAACCTCAAGGTTAAATCCACATAGAAATGGAACTGGGTAGAGCATATATCAACCTCCAATTTCACTAGAAAATGCCATGGTTTTTTCCAAAGTGGTTTTATGAATTTATATTCAGCAGCATATGAGGGGTACAGTTTCAGTACATTGGATTACAATTATAAATATTGGCAAACTAGTACATAAAATATTTCATTCTGGTTCATATTTGCATGACCCTGGTTTCAAATAAAATCAATGATCCGTTCATATGTTTTTTATTTGTTTGGGCTTTCATTCCTATGAAATATTTTTATCTTTTGTTCTTTTTCTATTGTATGTTTGTTTAGTGTTATTGAATAATAAAAAATTTTTAAATATTGGATAGTAATGCTGCTTTAATCTATTATTGTAAATATTTTTTCCATTTAAAACTTCTTTTCACTTACTTAACCATGTTGTTTTTGTAACCAAAAGCTTTAATGTAGTCAAATTCATCAATTGTTTAATTCATAGTTTGTGCTTTTTATGTTTTGTTAAACAGTTCTTACCTATCCCAAGGTCATAAAGATATATTCATATATTTTTCTCCTAAAGATTTTAACATTTTGATCCTCACATTTACTTATTTAAAAATTTTGATCTTCATATTCACAGTTCCTCCTGGAATTGATTGTCTGTATATCGTGCAATATAAAAACATAATTTTATTTTTGTCATTTGGATACCTAATTGTGTCAGTATTCTTTAACAAAAAGTTGATCCTTTTGCACTTAGCTGAATGCCATGTCTATCCTAAACCAAGTTTTCATATAAAGGATTTGTAGGTCTGTTTTTGGGACCCCTACTCTGTTCCACTGTTCTAACCCTGGACTCAAAACATACTATTAATCACCATAGTTTTAAAATAAGTCTTTGTCTCCAATAGTTTGTTTCTCATTTTGTTCTTTTTAGTAGTGTCCTACTTATTATTAACACTTTGCTTTTCTATGTAGATTTTAGAATCAACTCCATGGAAAAGCAAAAACTGAAAAATGTTTTAAAAATTAAAAAAGTGGAGAATATCTTTGAAGCTATGGCTAGGCGAAATTTCTCAATACCCAAATCCCAAATCATAAAATATCTTTTTTACTGAAATTATATTATATGTATAGGTCGATTTAAATAGAATTATTGTTATTTTACTGAGCTTTTCTATCCATGAACACAGTCCTTCTTAATTTCTTTAGGTGTTTCCATGTCTTGCAATACAGATTTATAACTTTTTTCCATAGAGATCAAACACAGCTAATGTTAGATTTTATTTCTATAGAATGTAAGAGGTTTTTTTTTTAATGCTTGATGGCTTATTTTATTTTACCATTTTATTTTTTAATTAATTAATTAATTTTTGTTATAGATGTTTCTCCTCTCCCCCCCATTGATACACTTCTCCTTGTTCCTGTCCCCCCCTCCTTCACAGTATTGTTGTCTATGTCCACCGGTTATGCATATAAGTTCTTTGGTTTATCTTTTCCTGCCCTCCCCTCCTCTTCCTCTGAGGTTTGTCAGTCTGATCTTTACTTCCATGTCTCCAGGTCTATTTTGTTCATCAGCTTATTTTGTTCATTATATTCCACAAATAAGTGAGAACATGTGATATTTGTCTTTCTCTGATTGGCTTATTTTGCTTAGCATAATGCTCTTCAGGTCCCTCCATATCGTCTCAAAGGATAAGAGATCTTTATTCCTTACAGCTGCATAGCATTCCATTGTGTATCTGTACCACAGATTTTTTATCCAGTCATCTGTTGTTGGACACTTGGGCTGTTTCCAGATCTTAGCTATTGTAAATAGTGCTGCTATGAACATAGGGATGCATATATTCTTTCTGATTGCGAAAAGTCAGAAAACCTGAACAGACCAATAACAACTAAGGAAATAGAAGCAATAATCAATAGACTCCCAGCAAACCAAAGCCCCAGTCCGGATGAATTCACAGGGGAGTTTTACCAAACATTCAAAGAAGAACTAACACCTATTCTCCTCAATCTATTCCAAAACATTTAAGAGGAAGGAAGACTTCCAATCTCTTTAAATGAAGCCAGCATAATCCTAATCCCAAAACCAGATAAAGACACTACAAAAAAAGAAAATTAAAGGCCAATATTCCTAATGAACATAGATGCCAAAATCCTCAACAAAATTATAGCAAATCGGATCCAGCAATATATTTAAAAAGTTATACACCATGACCAAGAAGGATTTATCCCAGGGATACAAGGTTGGTACAATACCTGCAAATCAATAAATGTGAAATGAAAGATAAAAATTATATGATTATAAAACATAATTAAATTTAGATATTACCAATTTTGAGAAGATTTTTGATGCAGAAAATTACATATCTGTGAATAAAGTGTTTCTCCTTGTTGTTTCTTTTTTTCTGACCTAATTTCTTTCTTTTCCAGTACAATGTTGAATAGAAATAGTGATAATAAATATCCTTGTCTTCTTGATTTTCAAGAAATACATCTAGTACTTTATTTAGTTTCATATTTGCTACCGGTTTTTCATAACCAATTTTTACCTTAAGAAAATTCTCTTTTTCTTGATTTGCTAAATGTTCTTTTTTTCCTCCATGACTAAATTAAATTCTATGTTCTTTCTTCCCCAACTGAGGTAATCATATATCTTTTTCCTTTAGTCTCTTAACTGAAGAATGACATTAATGTATTTTTTAATTTAAACCTATTTGATATTTCTTAACAAAACCCAAATTGGTCCTAATATTACATTTTTATATAATGCAAGATTTGATAATACTTTGTCAAAGATATTTCCATCACGTGCATATTGTTGACCTCTCTCATACTGCCATTCTCAAGTTTTAGTTTAAGATTATTCTAACTTCATAAAATGAGTTGGTGGGAGATGTGTTCCCTGGAAGAGATAAGTAAGGCATGAATGATCTAATTGTTGAATGTTTAGCAGAACTCCCCAGTAAATCTGTTGGGATGAAATTTCTCTTTGGGTCAGAAACCCTAAGGTCATGCAATTCATTCTTCCCTTTGAAGTCTTGATTCATCTAAGTCCAAACTCATGTAAATGGTCATTAGTAACCACAGGTCTTTTATTCATAATATTTAGTGAGGAAAACTAAAAGACTAAGGATATCATTTCATGAAAGAGTCAATAAATTACAGTGCAAATACTACCATAGTATCATTAGTTAATCTGATAAAATGCTAAAACAGGTCTGATTTCATTTTATTATGTTTCATGTTCAAGACATTCAGGAATTTTGCTTCCCAATGGGAATGTTTTTCACTTTTTTTCCTCTGAAATCAAAGTTTTTTCCTTCCTCCCTACAGATAAATGTTAATAATAAAACTTTTCTTACCCAAGTCATCCAGGTTCTATCTTTTGTGTTGTAGCGACACTCAGTAATTAGATTATCTCCCTAAAACAAAAAAAGTATGAGCTTTCAGATTGGAGTTTTACACTGTTTTATTTATCTAGTACATTTGTAGGTCAAGAGTTTAATTTGTTATTTGAAGTGATGAGTAAGGAATTTGATCAAGAGAAAACCCTTGATCTATTAAATTCTAAGATAATAAGCAAGCAAACAAGTCAGCAGGCTGTTTGGGTTCAGGCCAGGCTCCATCTTGTTCTAGCTGCATGACCTTAGATAAGGAAATAAGTCACTGGGCACAATGTGTTCATCCAAAAAATAATGATAAAAATAGCACTTATTTTGCACAGCTGTTGTTAAGGGATTAAATAACAAAACACACATTTAATTCTTAGTAGAGATTAAACACTTCCTAAGTGTTAGCCTTAGATTCTAGATACTGTGATTATCTCTTCATTCACATTATTTTCTTTAAAGGGTCTTTAGTCATGTATTTCCTTATAACAGAATTGTGAGGCACATTAATAGTAATTTATTTTTCCAGTGTTTGCCAATTGGTGTCTCTCTCTCTCCCTCTTTCCCTCCCTCCCTTTTCACTCTATCTAAAAATCAGTGGGAAAATATCCTCAGGTGAGGATTAACAACAACAACAACAACAAAATGAAGCATCACAAAAAAACACTTTTTAAAGCCTTCATTATCATAAGGCATAAGATTCCCTTCTGTGTCCTTCTGCCATGACCCCAAGTATTGTTGCAAGTGAATTACATAGAACAGTATAATTAGTTATGTCCGAACACCTTTGCCAAATGAAAGAATTCTCCTTATAATCATGTTTACTTAAATGAAACTTCTAAAAAAATATCCCGTGGAATAAAGGAACTTCTGATTTTACCATCATCATAATTGCAGCCAAAAGTTTCAACTGGGGAGTTAAACAAGAAAAGAATACTGTTAGTGCTCAAAACTCTATTTTCATTTTCTTTTTAAATCAACAACTTGAAGTGCCCCTGGGAATAGTAAAAAAAAAAAAAAATTAGGTTTGATTTTGGAAGATCAAACACATTCCACATGGGTTGTGCAATACCCATGGTGGGTGGCTTCAGGAGTAAGGATACCATGAGCAATTCATTTCAGCAGTAGAAACCTTGCTAATTCTCAGCAGATATACAGCTCATGACTTTTATAACATTCAGTAAAAAATGACAAAACATTCATACTGGTAAGATAGTTCGTTCTTCCTTTAGATACTGAAACTCCTGGAAATTGAAGTCAAAATTGTCATCATAAGCAATTAATCTCATTTCTTTCCCTTTGCGAAAATGACGGAGCTTGATGCCTCTGCCAGCCAGGTGAGCATGGAGAAGAACAGCAAACACGTGGATTCCACTTGGCTTTTCAGCTTCCAGAGCCTGTGGGTTGGGGGCGGAAAGAGTGGAAGACTCGATTAGCCCAAACAAGTGTGTACTCAGAGAGTTCTTGTTAAAAGAGACTTGAAGGGACAACCGAGAAGAAGAGCTAAAACAATTTAAGGGAATGCTTGAGCCACCAAACATTTTGAAGTTATATTTTTCATGACATTCTTGGCAGAGTTATCATTGTGAAGCAATATTTGCTGGAAGAAGAGGAAGGAAACTAATGCTGACTGAGGACCTATTGGACCACTCCTAAATGTCATCTTTTTTTTCCCTTCTTTTAGGAGGTAAAGAAGAAGTCAACATTCCTGGCAAAAATATTCCAGTATGTTAGTAACCTGCAAATTAACATTCTTAAAAGGAGAAATTATTACCACATTTACAGATAAGAAAACCAAGTGGGAGAAAGGCTTTAAATGACTTGCCCGTGGTCCCACAGATAGTAAGTGATGTCATAGCAACTGGAGTCAATGTCTAAATAACTCAGAAGATCATGTTCCCACTTCACCAGCCTGCACACAGCCTACAACCATGCCATTTTTTAATTCACAAAGAATGTGATCCATGTTGAAATACTTTCATTCGAGGGTAAAGAACTACAAATGGAAGCAGCCATTATTAAATACTTATAAATGGATTTACCTTACACAATATGTTTGTATATTAGTTATTCTTGTTCTTTGGTTAAAGAAGGGAACAAAACTATAAAGCAAAGAAAAGGAGAAAAAAAATGGAAATGAATAATGGAAAAAACAAATAGAGATGAAAGGTAAAGTTGAGAAAGAAAACTACATAAATAGAGCAAAATATTTTAGAAGGTAAAATAGCCCTGGCTGGTTTTCTCAGTGGTTAGAGCGTCGGCCCATGGACCAATGAGTTGCGGGTTCGATTCTTGGTAAGGGCATGTGCCTCTGTTGCATTCGTTCCAGGCCCTGGTCGGGTTGTGCCAGAGGCAACCAGTTGATGTGTCTCTCTCACATCAATGTTTCTCTCTCTCTCCCTCCCACCACCCCACTCTATCTGAAGATAAATAGAAAAATACCCTCAGGTGAGGATTAAAAAAATAATAATAAAAAGAAAAATAAAAGGTAGAATAAAGTGTCAAATATGAAACAAACAAAGGAGGTGAGGCTAGGAAGGAAAAGGTGCTGAAAGTCATTCTTGTCTTCAGAATTCTACCCCGGTAGCCTTTAAGATTTAAAAAAGCAACAAAGGTCTTGGCAAAATTGTATGTAACGGTTTTACAGTGTGAAAACAAGAAAAATATCAATAATGAACACATGTGGAATGTTCCAAACAGTTTTCTAAGAGCATTGATCAATCTAAGCAGCAGCACACAGTGAGACGCAGCATACCTCTTCCAGGCATTCCAGAGTGCAGTGGCCCTCGGAATGGAACTCAGGCATGCCTGGAGGGATGGTATGGAAGCGGCTTACCCAGAGGCCAGCCTCAATCACCCCGGCATCATATTTCCTTACATCTGTTGTATGAAATAACCTCAGTCCAGAATTATCTATTAAGCCTGGAACAAGAGCATATAATTAAAAGTGAGTTTGCGTTCTTAAAAAAAAATTCCCTATATTTAGTTGAAGTGGTTCATTAATTTTTCCTAAAATCTCACAAGGAAAAGGAATACATGCAAAGATTAATGGAAGACAACATGCAGCTCCACACACGGAAATTAAAAGACATGTCACCGTATTGCCTGCATACCATGGGAGAAATGTTTGTGTTGTCTAGCTGATGCATTCCATAATGATCTGACATGAAATCCTAAGTCACTCATTAAAATGTAGAAGAACTCAACAAAAGCCTTATATTATTTTCAGGTAATGTTTAGTAACATTTACATAGAGGTGAAAACCGCTTGGTCAAGAAACCATCTGCTGATGGAGAAAATTATTAATGATTAACTTTCTTTATAGTTTGTCACCATTCTTTCAATCATTCATCAGTTACTCAATCAATACTAATTGAGACTTTAGTATGGGAAAAGCACTACAATAGGCAGTGGAATGAAAGATGAAGAAGACACAGTCCTTGCTATGACATACTTATAAGGAGGAAAAGGATGATTCCCAAACTTCATAAATCTGTTCCACTTATTTTAAATTTAGTTGACTCCTTCCTGCAGTGGTGACTTACCTACCTATGAATACCAAACTGAGCCTTTGGGTCAATTAGCGTATATTTTTAATTTTATATTAGCCGGTGTGATTATTTTATTATTTCTCTTTCCCACTGTACTATAATTTCCACAAGGTTGAAAACAGTGTCTATTTTTTCACAAACATTATATTGTTAAGCACAAACCCAGCACATAATTGGTGTTTAGTATTTAATGAATAACTGCATAAATCAATGTAAAATAACTTGATTATCTCAACATTTTTTGGTTTTGTTATATTACATAAGTAAATTCAGAAATCAAATGTAAATACTTACCCCTCTTCATTTCAATATAATATCACTCAGTGTCTCTGTATAAATACTTTTTGAGTATATTTATGGTTTTCCTATTATACAACAAAATACTTAATATTTTCTAGTGTGATGAATGGTAGTTTTCATATGAGTAGTTAGAAACGTTTCATAAGCACCCTGTGTGGCCTAATTTACATAACAAAGCAAAAAGTCTATTCTTCTACTTCCTCATAAGTTATATACAAATGGTTTCTTTAAGGTTAGTGACCAGAAGGCCCATTTGCCTTATTCATCGCTGGTAATGACTCTTGTCCCGGTGTAGTTATTAATAGCACCCCTTAATCTGGCTCACAAACATATAAATTAATTCTTTCTAACAATGGATGCTGTTTTATTTCAATTGTAAGACAGAAGTTACAAAACTTTTTAAAATCATAGACAGAATATTTGAAGGAATCAACTCACCTTCTATATATGTCGGATTGTCATAATGAACTTCCAGGAGCACATACCGAGGATCCAATGGCGTGCCGAGGGATAATCCAACATGAGGTGGATAGAAAAAACCCTAAATTAGGAAAATGTCATGAGACGATGTCCTATGAAAGTAGTTGAAGCTCTACTCCACTCAAAAACCCAACCATTCTCAAAGAGATGTCAACATCCTGGAACTCCATTAACCTATGGTTGATCAAACAAACTGGCTCAAGAAAAGAAATACTTTCTTTGGAAAGGAAAGTAAGCCACCCTCATATCAAAAATAGTGTATAGCGCTTTACTTATAAGTATTAGAATCACAGGGAAAAAACATGATCAGTGAATTGTGTTACATCTCAGGAATCACTAGCCCCACCTCTCCACCAATGGCCCAGGCGAAGAAAACGGTCTGGCAGGTGTAGAATGCGTCGGGCATGTTGGGGTGGTAGCACTCGTGGCCGTAGTCCAGAATGCTGTCGTTCAAATTGCTGTCACACTGATAGAGCAGGATGTGATGGACCAGACTCTCATGGCCTCTCTGTATCACTGGCTCAACCTAAGCAAGCACAGAGCAGAGGGAGGATGCGATGAATTAAATCAGCCTACCACCCCGCGCAATAAACATCAAACTAGCATAAGTGATTATCAGCTTTTCAAAGACATGGTTTTCTCAGTCAAGCGAAGGTTATGTGGCTCAAGTATAATTTGTTGTGAAGATGATGACCACGATGATGATGCAGACGACCATGACAGCAACAAAGAGATGACTGTTTACTCCAAGAATCATAGCACTTGACTAATCTGTCGTTTTTGTTTTTTTAAACTCTTGTTTCTTTCACCATCTGCAAAACAGATGTTTTAAAACTTGCTTTTCCTTTTCCAGGCTTTACTTTTCCTTTGTTCCCCTTCTCTCTCTCTCTTTTTGTTTAATAGAAAAAATTCAAGGCTATATAGGCATAAACTCCCTTAGCATCCCTCTCTTCTACCTCAAAATGTTATCTTTACTGATCCCTACTGGAGGTGTTAGATGATGTATAAGTCATCTATCTATCTATCTATCCATCTATCTATCTATCTATCTATCTATCATTTTATCTATCTATCTATTATCTATCATCTATCTATATCTATCTTTCTGATGCTAAGCATAGAGCTGGGCACAGGACTCAATAATGGATATTTTTATTGAAGATTTAAAAACAAATTCTATTAAAAAATTTACTAGTAGAATTTGGGAGAAAAAAGAAAACATTGTAGTGATGTGCTCCTGTGACACCCCTCAAATTAGGAGAAAGGGGGTGGAAACCAGTGAAAATAGACAAAGTGGTGGAGTTAGTCCTCATAGTGAAAGCACAGTCCATGTGAGCGTGCTCCCAATGATACCATTGTAATTAACCAGTCGTTAATAACAGGAAAGGAGCAAAGGGAAGGCCAAATAGTACAGGCATGTCATTCGGGCAGCTTCGCCAGGAAGCTACAACTTTGCACTCCTCAGGAGTCCAGCAAAGGGAAGCTAGCTGCATGCCCAGTAAAGCTGGGGGGACTAGTGAAGGTGCTAGCCTGTCAGTCACACCTGGGGACAGGTCATTGGCCAGGATGGGCATGGCCACTGAAATTGTGTGAAATTTGGGATGTTAACTCCCTGAACAAAGAAACTCTCTCTTGGTTGCTCTGGGCTCTCTTGGGACGTTGTTGCAGGGGTGTGCTCTCTTGGCTCATTTACCTTCGCCCACATGGCTGCCTCATAGCCACGTGGAGCCCACACACAGTGGACTAATGGACTGCAACTATCTTGATGTTGAACTGACCCGGCTCCAACATGGAATGGAAACTCTGGACACTGGCTTTGCTTTTAGCTCTACTGAAACCCCAACTACACCTCTTCTATAGCTGGACTAGGGGAAATGGAACTTTGGAAACCCTGAGATGTAATTCTATGCAAATGTAAATCACTCATTCTCCTGGGCAAGTCTCAGAAAATTCTTTTTCTCAAGATATCATAAAAACTTCACCCTCAGCACTCAGTAGGGAAAGGAATACCTCAGTTTCCCTGATAACACTTCCATTGGCCCTTCTGTGAGTTCCCTTTATAACACTCTTCAACTTCAGTCCAGGAACTCAGAGTGAGCTAAGCATAATCACATTACAAAGAGCCTTATATCCAGAGCAAATGCATGAACACTGTACTTAGCCTAGTTGGGTTATTGGTGTTGCCATCGGTTTCATGGTTCTTTGAATCATTTGTTTATCTGACAAAGAAGCCCTGGTGTGTCCCTAAATTTCCAAAAATGTAGCTGTCTTAGGGCTCATCCACATTTCTGCTTTTAGCCTTAACTACTCAAATTGCAAGCAATGCATTTTGAAATGCTTGCTTGTTCTCTGCTTCAGACATGCATCTAAAGATGGAGTGTTTTCAGCAATTTTCTCTTAAGGCTTTCTGTTTTAATTTTTTATGCACTTTTACAATTTTTTTTTTTAATTCTCACCTGAGGACTTTTTTTCCATTTTTTGTTCAGATAGAGTGGGAAGAAGAGAGAGAGAGAGAGAGAGATCGTGAAAGGGACACATCGAGTGGCTGCCACCCGCACAACCCAACCAGAGCCAGGGACAAACTGCAACTGAGGTACGTGCCCTTAGCGGGAACCGAACCCGGGACTCTCTGGACCGCAGGCCGATGCTCTAACCGCTGGGCCAAAATGGCCAGGGCACAATTTTTTTAAAAATAGTAAAATCTAAGCAGCAGACGAGGGAAATGGTACCCAGCAGGTAGACATCTGAATAGACAGCTAGGGACTTGAGTTTTGAAATCCAGCTTTATTTTGTGTTGCACAGTGAGTGATGCCTTACTTACCATATGTACATTTCTAACATCACATACACAGAAATGACACTGCACAGGCCGTGTCTGCACTTGTCTCGCCTCTAAAACACTGTGCACCCTGAAGGCAGAAACAATTTTCCATTTTGCTTGGAAATGACCGTTATTATCCAAGCCTGGTTGCATAATATGCACAAAAGGGTCACCCAGGATTTTTATTAGATTTTAGTTTCCATCTGCAGTTTAAGCTTTCTTATGAGTCTTGATTTATTTGGGCACCTCAGTACTCCAAGAGGGACAGGACACTGCTAATATGTCCATAGTAAAATATTTAGGCACGTGTGAGAATTTTGCTAAGTGCCTTATAAGTGCAGGAGGAATCTGTAGGTTGTACTGAGCTCTACGAGATAGGTCCTGGGAAGGAGTTGTTAGAGCAAAACAGCTGGCTGTTGCCAATGCAGCCACAGAAACTAGAGGTCTTCATCGAGCCATGACAACAGTGATCTAAGAGTGCGCATGCGGGGAAGTGAGGCTAGGTGGTGCCTGACATTAAGATGCTTAAAAAATGGGCAAAGAACCCGAATAGACACTTCTCCAAAGAGGACAAACAGAAGACCAATAGACATATGAAAAGATGCTCGACATCACTAATTATCAGAGAGATGCAAATTAAAAGCACCACAAGATATCACCTCACACCTGTCAGAACAGCTGTCATCAATAAGTCAACAAGTAAGTGTTGGCAAGGATGTGGAGAAAAGGGAACCCTCATGCACTATTAGTGGGAGTGCAGACTAGTTCAGCCACTGTGGAAAGCAGTGAAGAGTTACCTCAAAAAATTAAAAATGGAACTGCCTTATGACCCAGTGACTCCACTTCCAGGAATTTACCCAAAGAAACCCGAAACACTAATTTAAAGAATATATGCACCGCTATGTTCATTGTTGCATTATTTACGATAACCAAGATTTAGGCAGCCCAAGTGCCCATCAGCAGATGAGTGGATAAAAAAGCTGTGGTACCCTGCCCGGTGTGGCTCAGTGGTTGAGCGGCGACCCATGCACCAAGAGGTCATCAGTTCGATTCCCGGTTGAGGGACCCGCTCAGGTTGTGGGCCCGATCCCCAGTGGGGGACGTGCAGGAGGCAGCCAATTGATGTTCTCTCTCACTGATGTTTCACTCTCTCTCTCCCTCTCCCTCTAAAAATCAATAAAGGAAAAAAAAAAGTTTTTTAAATAAAAAAAAAATCTGTGGTACATTTACACACTGGAATACTACTTGGCCATTATAAAAACGGAACTCTTACCCTTTGCAACAGCATGGATGGACCTGGAGAGCATTGTGCTAAGTGAAATAAGCCAGTGAAGGAAAGACAAGTATCATATAATTTCACTTATATGTGGGATTTAATTAACAAAATGAACTAACAAGCAAAACAGTGAGACTCATAGATAGAGAACAGGCTGACAGCTTTAGAAGATGGGGGCAGGGAAGTGGAGGGATAGAGAAAAAAAGAGAAAACTCATGGACATGAACAACAGTGTGGTGACTGCCAGGGGAGGGGGGTGGGAAGGAGGGTAAGTGGTGATGGAGGGAGACTTGACTTGGGGCAGTGAACACACAATACAGTGTACAGATGTTGTGTTATAGAACTGTGCTCCTGAAACCTGTATGATTTTGTTAACCAGTGTCACCCCAATAAATTCAGTGAAAAGGAAAACAAGATGCTTCAAATAAACTTCTTAAAGGAAGCTTTGAGGGGCGAGTGCTTTGTTTTTTAAATGTAGGAAGTGCTCAAACTCACATCGAACTTCCAAGTTACCAATGCAGTCCAGGAATATTAACAGTAACTTCTGTCTTTTCTTCAGCACCTACTGTCTGCCAGCCACTATATTACTCATTTGACATATTTCATCTAGTTTTTCCAAAAAACTATAAAGTAAATGTGAGTCTCCATTTTACGGATGAGAAAACTGAAACTCGGAGGATTAGGCGACAAGCCCAAAGTAGCACCGCTAGGAAGTGGTAGATGGGGATTTGAAACAAGGCTCAGCCGACCCAAAGGCAGTACTGCTAGCAACAGTTATTGCAGGAAGACATACTGGAGAGGCTCCAGGGGCCCGGCACCTGCCGCGTGAGAGGGCGGGCGGAAGGTTCAATAAGGCACGTTGCCGACCGCTGTCAGCAAGAAGGGTGATGACACCACAGAGCCAATGCCAGCAGGTGCTTTTGGAGCCACTACCAAGAGTCACCACACAGCTCTGCCAGCAGAGGGGCACTACCAGACTGGTAGACTGGCTTGGGGGGAAGTCTCCTGCCCTACTTGCCAATTCGGTCCAAGACCCTTTGACCCGTAAGGGGAAAAGACAGACCTGTGGCCTTTCAATGGGTTCTTTCCAAAGGAGAGCAAATAACAAAGTCTCTTTTTGAAACCTGTTGAGGGCTTCAAGGAAAATTAAATTGTAATCCAATCTCCAGATTATAACAGTAACTTCTATCTTTTCTTCAGCACCTGCTGTCTGCCAGCCACTATATTAGTCATTTGACATATTTAATCTAATTTTTACAAAAAATTAGAGCAGAAACTGAAGACTTCCAAAGAAAAAAACTACAGTCACAAGACAACAGGAAAACTTTCTGCACACAAATCTGGGCACCCATCATAGGAAAAGATAAGAAGACTTGGAGGAAGCACCTCCTTGGCCAAACAGAATGAATGTGAGAGAAGAAAGGGACAA